GCATCACCTTAAAGAGGACCTGTCACCACCATCTGCTATTACATGGGGGGGCTTGTAAGCCCCCCCATGTGATAGCAGTCAAAGTAAAGTAAAAAAAGACAAAAAACAGTTTTTTTAAAATTAAAATGAACTAAAATAAATCTAATAATACAAAAAAAAATTTAAAAGTCCCCCGCCCCCGCGAGCACGCGCATCGCCACGTAAACACGCGTCGGGTGCGCCTACGCATGAAAACGACGAACGCGCTACACATGTTGGGTATCGCCGCGCACGCCGGAGTGAGAGATTTTGGGGTATCTCTAAATTGATGACCTGTGGGGGCTTTTAAAGCGTCTTTTATTGACTTTTTGGGGTACTGCAGTTTTTCGCCGTTTCACGGCATGTTGGGTATCGTTTTACTCGTTGTAACCTCATCTTTTATATTTCATTAAAAAAATGGGTAATTTGTTGTGTTTTGGGGCATTTCATTAAATTTGTCAATAAATTTTGGGGTTTAATAAGGAGTTGCGCTAATATTGCGCAACATAAAAATTTTCAACTACCACCATTTTATTCTATAGGGTCTTGGCATTCAGAAAATATATAATGTTGGGGGGTTTTACGTCATTTTCAGGCCTAAAATGTGGAATATAACATGGGTGCAAAAAATGAAAAAAGGGCCTCAGTCATGAAGGGGTTAATCCTTTGTTAGGACAGACAGTCCTGCACATCTAATTAACAACTGACAATGAGATCTGCCAGCACAGTTCAGGCAGGGTTAATTATGGTAAACATTAACTCCACAGCCCCCTCATGAATATTACATAGGAATTGAAGTTAAGTACGCTTTTTTTATTTTCAATTTTTTTTTAGAAAAGAGCAACAAACAAGGAACATGTAACAAATATAAAGTAGTTTAGCTGCAAAAGTGGAAATACTAGAGTGCTTCTAATGTGGCGTAGAATATGTATCTAGAGTAGTTCTCTTCTATACTGACTTTTTGATCAGTGGCTATGGAGTCTTTTGCTATTGCCACTAAGAGGCTGCTGGTCCAGGGCTAGCTGGCCAGGAATATGGAGAGGAAGATATCTTCATGTCAATTAGTCTGGACCTAGCACCATTTTAGGAATCTGAGAGTGCGGAGTCAGAGAAGAACTTCCTCCATTAGTTTCCTTGGTCCTCTGCGTCTGCTTTTATGCTTAGAAAATAAAGTATGTCTCTAGCACATCTCTGTCCAAAATGCCTAACGTCTTCTTCCAAAACACATATTATGCTTCATGAAAGGACCCTGTGCTGCCCCAAAACATTGCTAGTTGATTGACCAAAATGCTTGAATGTCAATAAAGGCCCTTTGTATGAAGATTGTTTGTCTTCTGGTGACATACTTTATTTCCTGCATTTGAGCGGTGCCATTCACAGCCCCTTCAACACTCATTTGATAAGGGGTATACCGATCAGGAGTGCAGTGGGATTTCTACATGCTGTTATTCCTTGACATTGTTGCATTTGTTCAGAGACTCTCCTCCTTACAGTGCTACACAGAAGTAGTGCTTTAAGCCGCAATTATTAGCTGTGGGACAGAGGTGGACAGCACCAAGCCATAACCCCCCTTTTGCGCTTCTTCACTTTTCTTTAGTTTTATCAGGTTCTTGTCATGTTTTGTCTTGATAGCTTTCCCACTTTTGAAGATGTACATCGATGAAGAAAATGAGCAGCTGGTTACAGGGTGTGCTGATGGAATGGTAAATTTCCTATGTCATTAATTTTATTTTTAATTCTTGACTGATGTAAATTATATCTGATATTTGAATGTTTTTTACTTGGTTTTCTCAGGATAAGCATATGAGTGACAAAATTGCTTAGTTAAAAAGATAGAAACATCAATTGTTACATTTCCTTTTCAGTTACGAGCCTTCAGTTTGGTAAAAGGTCACAATTTTCGATGTCTGTGTAACATTGATCTTCGAAAGGAGAAACTGAAATTCTACAGGCGGTTTGAAAGGTCCGGTCAGTCAGAAAGATCAGGTAAAGTATATCAAATACTGCCAGTGATATGTCAGTCTTAAAACCCTTATCAATAATATTTTCCAGTTGTAATAAATGGCTTCTTATTTACACCAGAAATGTTGCTATTCATTTTGGACATAAATGGGCCTGTAATATCAAGAGATGCATCCAATAATTAAAGTGACACTAAACTCATGAGTTGAATGTTAAAAATGCATTCAAGTATCTTCATGCAGATACTTTTCTTTTTTTTTTTTTATTAGGTTGCACGCACAGCAGGCTTTAAAAAACAAATGAAATAAGAGCATGCGTGCTGACACTTCTGAAGGGCGGGTACATTTGTTTCCTATGGTCCCTGTGTGTGTTTTATAGTAGTCAACACTCCAAGTTCACTCCTGTGATGGACTACAATCTTGCATTTCGTTTACTATTGTATTAACTATCATATTGAGTAGGGATGTCCGGATACCTGTTCAGATACCAGTGCCGATATTTGGCATTTTCATGAGAACTACCAGGGTTGCAGCAGTTGCAGCTGGGACATAGCTCTGGTGCTCCACCACTGTCCTGAAATCATTAGTCTGTATTGTTTTAGAAAAACTGTCACATGACAATAAACAAAAATGTATCATGGTAAACAAGTACCAGTACTTGTAAAAATGGTATCGGTGCATCCCTTTATTTATATTTATAAAAATATAATCATACATTAAAAAAGAGATTTACAAATCCAAGGAGCTCAGTGTGCTCCTTACAAACGACAGCTGCCTCCTAATTTTTGAATTTTTCTCTAGTCTAGTCTTGGAGCTGAAAAAGTATCTGTACTTGTACCGAGTACGGCACTTGGTATCGGTGCATCCCTAATATTGAGAATGTGGTCCATCACGGGAGTGAGCTTGGAGCAGTGACTACCTCATACACACGGATCATGCGTAGTATTCACGAGGCTGTCTTTGCTGACCCCTTCTGTAAATGTTAGTTTCTTGGGTGTCATGGTAAACAAATGGCTTCATAAAATTGTGACTCACTGTACATGAACAAGAATGCAAATACACCACTCTGATGTTAATGGCTGCAGGCATTTTCTTGGTTAGACGTTTAAAAATGAAAGGCAACTTGCATTTTCAGCAAGAGGTGAGCAATCATAGTCTCTTTTTTTTTATTATGGAAACTGTAGTGTTTTTTTACATCTATACAGCTCTTATTTTTAAAATAATGGTGCTTCCTTCTTCAGTGTGTGAAATATATGCAAGGCTATCTAATGAGAGCCCATCACTAGCTCCGCACTTACTGGCTGCTACAGGCTGAAGATCTAGTCGGTACCATTTGTACTTGGAGAGAAGGAGAGGGAACTGTCAGTCAGCAGTAAACCATTATGGTGCTGGCTATAATTAATCATATTAAATATTCGTATACAATATTTTATATTTACCTAAATAAAAAGCAGTATCTTCACTTCTGTACATGCTATAAGTAAGAAATATGCAAAAACTCATTGATATAATTAGAAATTAAAATATATGTTTAGTTCAATTTGTTAACCATATACTGTTTAATGTGTCACACCTCCTTTAAATATTCCACATCCACATGACATGCCTGTTTCTGTTTCCCATTTTTTTTTTTTTTTTTAGAGATGGCCGGTACTAAAAGTTTGGGAAATGAAGTGGATTCTGGCCTTCCCATACTTCATATAATGAAATATAGGCAACAACTACCAGAATTATACATGTGAGTAATATGTGTTAAAAAGGACCCGAAAATTGGGTTATTTAAAGGGTACGTGGATCCAAAATCTGTTTTCTGTCTTTTGCTAAATTCCTTACCTGGAGATTGTGTCAGTAACAGCATGTCTTTTCAGGCTGACATTGGTGTGCTGGCGTCGCAGATAGCAGCAGTGTTGGCAGTCTGCCGTGTGTAATCTCTCCATTGGGCACAGCAATTTTTTTGTGGTTCTGATGGGAAAGTAATTTTTTGAGAATCTCAATGCATGAATGAGCTTCTCTTATCTGATCCAGTTCATGTATATCAGTGGTTTCAGGAATATATCTATCAAGGTGTTCAGTATTTTTTTTTTTGTCTGTAACTTTTAGGCCACTTCTTGGAAACCCTGCTCTTATGTGTATAGGAAGTTCTACTGATATACTTCTAACCAATATGGCTACATCTGAAGTGGAAGCTGTTTTACATTATGAAGGTAGGAAGCAACAATATTTCTTTTTAATTAAAGGTAACTAGCAGAAATAAACCAGATCAGTAAGTTGTGGTGCTGGGATCTTAGTGCTGGGGCCTGTGCAATATGTGCTGCAGGACTTAATTATAGGTGCATCTGCACACACAGATTCCTCTTAGTTCCCCTGTAAAGTCCCACAAATATCTGTTGAGCCTGCCAGTGAAGTCCACCTAATGCAGCTTCCTGTGATGGTGTGGCAGTGATGCTGCACTGCTCCTAAATCCTGAATTCAGAGCATGATTGCCATTGTCATGTAGACTTTCTGCTTGTACTACAGTCGGATGAAAACATGTTACAGGGGGGCATGGCTATTAGCATTGTCACTGCTGATTCACAGGCCTGTAGCTTGCCACACCTAGTCCCGGCCTCTGTCCAACTGCCTCTGTTGCTGAAACTCTTCCACTGTGAGCTGCAGTGTCTGGAAGGGAAAGCATGTGAGACACAAAAAGAGGAGAATTTGACTCAGTCAGGGAAAAGTACGTTTTTAGTTTGCTTTATGAGCCTTGTGCAGAACATAGTAATTGGATTTGGTACTTGTTTAGACTGCCATACATGAGCCTTTAGTTGTTCTTTAGTTCTTAGGGTCGGGGACGTTGATCATATGGTAATGGACATTTTTAGGGTTTTTTTGTGTTGGAAAGTTTAGGTAGTGGAGGGTTCATTGTTAGGGCTGGTGCTTAAGGCTGGGTTCACACCTAGGCGTATTGAATATGCGCGTTTGTTGGGCGTTTCGCTTCGCGCGTTTTTACCGCGATTCGCGGTTAAAAACGCGCGACAAGCGCCCGTTTCCGAGGGCTACTTGGCTGTATCCCAATGGAAACGCAAGACCAAAACGCCCCAAAGAAGTACATGTACTTCTTTGGGTGTAGGCCGTTTTGTATCGCGTTCGGACGGGCGGAAGTACGGCAAGGTGTGAACCAGACCCATTGAATACAATGGGATTTAGATGTTTGAGCGTTTTGTAGAGCGTTCGTCGAGCGTTGAACGCGCTACAAAACGTTCAGGTGTGAACCAGGCCTTAGTGTAAGGGATACTTTATTAATTTGTGAACCTTAGGGCAGCTGCTGCATTTATACTGGTTCTTGGTACTTGGAGTCTCATGCTGATAACTACCAGCTTCAAACTCCTTGATCCAAGAATAAATATACCATGGCTTTGCAGGGCATTTGTGTATCTGGCTACTAGATATTTATAATAAAGAAGCTTCTGGTACAAAAAAAAAAAAGTTATATACTGTATATGTTACATAATATGTATATTGTATAGTAATTGGTAAAAATTGTAATACGAATGCAGATTTGGAAATAAGATAGACATAACCTAATAGTAAAAGGAATCAATTTATTTTGTAATAAAAATGCCAAACATATTTGATTATTGAATGGTGAACACATTGTACTGCATTTTCATTTGAATTATTTTCATACCTGTTTCATAATATTTATAAGCACTGTTAAGTTGTAATATTAATTTCAATAACCATTTGTATTAAAGATTATGATGACCTCAGCATCTATTTGGCTGGATCAATATCAATGTCATTTAAAACTGGAAAGAAAGTAAGTTTATTTACATTAATACTTTTTGGTAATGTTCTTGTCTTTCTTTATAGTCAATATTATTATCAGATATTATTATTTTATATTTGTGAATAATTAATAAGGTTTTAATAAATGTACTAAATCTGACCCTTGCCACAACACCAACAAGTCCGAGTGGAACCAAATTAGTACTTTTGTTACTATACCTTACCTTGTTTACGTGAAACATTTTAGGCCAGGTCAGGTTTATTTTTTACTCAAGGGTCACTCATAGTTGTTCACTGCAATATGAAGTCAGTTTAGTTTAACGTACATGAAATGCCAAGGACCAAGTGTCCTCCATCAAACCAATAGTGTAATTCTATAATTGTATTGTATTCTTTTGCAGGATTTTTGCTTAATTGCCTCAATGTTTGAAAGTCACATATCACTTCTGGAGTTTGACACCTGTGCTTTGTGGCGATTTCAACAGCACAAACTACTGTCCTGTGCATTCGAGACTAATTTGTCTATTGTCTCCAGGTACTAGAAAATGAAAGCTTTTAAAAATGATAGATTCCACAGTTAATCATATGTGATGGATAATAATGTGAATGACATACCTAGTAGTACACTTAGTAAGATGTATTTTAATAACAGATAAACATGTTAGGTAGTGAGTTTCTTTGCAGTAATCTGAGATTGTTAAATGAAGTGGTACACAGACCACTGGACATCAGTAGCATGGTGGCAGAGTTCTTTAGTGCCACACTGCAACAAGATGTACTTAGTTCCTGTTATGTGTAACTTTATTTTAAAGTATCCATAGAAAAATGATTGGACCCAACCCAATTAATTCACACAGATTGGGCAGTGATCCTTGTAGTTGTGGGTGGTAGCGGACAATTCCAGCCATAACAAGGATGTTAGTTTTTAGCTCACTGTGATTAATATACCTAAGATAAGTCTCTAGTTAACAAATGGCTGCTGCCACCCTTCTTCATCCATAGAATGATCACTGAATAAAATTCAGCATTTGGATCAGGACCACATGTCCGACTGTCATTTAATATCTATCCCTAGCTGTAGGGGTCATTTACTATTAGGAAACAAGCTTACTGTGCATTTTCCAGCTTGCTGTGACAATACATATACCTAAGTGGTATTTAAGCTGCTAAGCAAATGTTTAAATGTCTCCCAGGATACACTAGTGCAGTCAGATGATGGAGATTTGAACTGAACCTCTAACAAAGTACACATATTTGCAATTCTGTTTCATGTAAATACGATTTATCAATAATTAGTTCCTATATTTATATATTGCTGATACATTATCACATTACAGAGTACAAAGAACCATTCTTTATTCTCTCCCTCCAACAAAGCTGTAAATCTAAAGGCTCTTCCACAACCAGAAACACTCTAGGGCTATTGCGATATGACACCAACTAAACCTACCAGTATGCTTTGGGGTTGTGGGCGGAAGCTCAGGAAATCAGAGGAAACCCACACAAACTTCAAAGAAAATACAGACTTTATTCCCATAGTGCACAGCACACATCTCCCATCACACATATTGTTTATTTAAATATATAACTAGTTTTTTTATGGCTGGGTTTCTAATATTTTTGAAATATTTACTTGTTGCTTTCTTTCTTAATGGAGTAACATCATTTCTTCTATGAATCTTTTTTCTTGTAGTAATCCTCTGTTATCAACATCTCCATTATGTTCTCATGTTCCTAAAAAATCTGCCAATGCCAAGACAAATGGTTAGTATGACCTGTCAGAATTCATATTTATGCTTGCAGTGTAACTTTGTTACTTTGCTTTAGTATAACATCTGTTGATAAACTGGATAGAAGCTGTACAATTTATAAGGCCCCATTCACACCAGGGCGGTTTGGCCGCGCAGATTTGACAGCGCTGAACCGCCGACATGAACAACCCCAAACATTCCTATGGGGACCGTTTATGCGATCGCGCAGCTCCGCACGACTCGAACCACCTGCCACCTAAAATGCTCCCTGAGCTATTTTTTACGCTGATCAGCCTGGATTTCATATAGATTTCAATGGAAATCTACTGATTAGCTCGTTAATGGGCGTTTTTAATTGCATTTCATAGCTTAAATGCGATTAATAATGCCCAAAACCGCCCTTTTAAAATTTGCACTGAAACGCATCTGCCCAGGTGTAAATGGGGCCTTAGATTGTTGGGCATCTGTAGCAGAAAAGCAACTGGGTGGAAATAAGTGAGTGATTCCTGCAATCCTCTGCCTGAAAGTCCCATTCTTTTTTTTAAATCAGATAATTTTTTTATTGAACATTTTCAGACAAAAAACAATCCACACACGTACAAAGTACAATGTCAAAGCGTTGCAGATACTTATTGATGTAAAGGATAATACACTTCAAAACGAGACACAAACCAAGTAAAACAAACCAAAAAAAGAAGAACAAACAAAAAAAAAAGACGCTGCAGGACATCAAGACGCAGCCGGGGGGATTTCATCCTCCAGACCAGGTCCCTGAATATCCCGTCGATCAGGCGAAAGGTCTTTTTCGGGATCCACACCGGAGAGTTATGAAGGACATATAATAACTGGGGCAACCATATCATTTTGATCAAGTTCACCCTACCGGCCACCGAAAGCGGTAATTTAGCCCAGGATGCCAGTTGAGACCTAAACCTCGCCAGCAAGGGGAGCAAATTCAGAGAGACGTAGTCAAGGGGAGAAGCCATCAGTTGAATGCCCAAATAGGTAATGGCCGTCTGGACCTGCAGATGAGACAATTCAGGAGCCAAAGAAAGTCCCATTCTTAGTTAATTTTTGGAACCTGTTGCCTATACTTCAGTCACCATAAACATTTAACAATGTATTTTTAAAGTCCTCACACTGTATAAAGGGAGATGGAAATGCTGGACAGTGGGACCTGACGTGTTTGTTACTGGGGCTTTGTATTAACCTCACAATTGTATTACAATCACACTCTATTCTGGTTACACCTGCTTTAATAAGGTTATCTGACACGATGCATACATTAGCATCTGATATCTGTAATATAGTCTATATTCACACTTGTGCATTTTGCATCACGCATTTTGCTGCACTTAAATGCATGTCAAGTAGAAATTCTTTCCTATGTGGCTAGTTCACTGTAGTTTAGTGTGAAAGACTAAGGGAAACTATATGGGCCAATTTACACCTACACTTGTGCATTACCATGCATGCTGCATGGTAAATCCAGCCTCTATATCTGCCAATCTGCTGCAACTGATCTGTCTTGCACGTCTTGGTTTTTTTTCATTCCCAGAGATACCATCTCTCAATACTGAGCAAATGGGTTGGTATACCTTGTGTGCTACACAATTTATTATGCGAGGTGGCCAGTCAGTGTTGTTTTTTATTCCCAAAGATACCATCTCTTAATACTAAGCAAATAGGTTGGTATACCTTGTGTGCCATACAGTTTATTATATGAGGTGGCCAGTCAGTATGTGGACTTGTCAGGTATAAAATGTATTATACAAGTAGGCCTATCGAAGTGTGAACTTATGAGCTGTACAGTTTATTTTACAAGGAGGCCAATACATTTGTGAACTTGTGAGCTGTACAATTTATTAAACACGGAAGCGAGAAAGGCTCCTTTTACACAGGCTGATCAGGAGAGGATCTGTGCACGGATCCTCTCCTGATCATAGCAGCATGGAGCGAATGTCAACGTGGTGACATCTGCGTCCATACTGTAATTACCCTACCCCATGCCAGTCTATGGGGAACCGTATGTAAACGGACATGTGTCTGCTACATCAGATTACCCCTGATTGATTCTAGCGAAACGGAACACTGTTCCATTTGTTTTTCCGGACTCAGCTGGAGGCAGGGGTAACTGAGTGTAAACAGACACTCTTCTGTTAACACCTGGACTAGGTCCGGAAAAAAAACATAACAGTGTTCCATTCCATGTCAGGGTAAACTGTTTACATCCGATTCCCCCTAGACTGGCATGGGGTCTGGTAATTGTAGTTTTTTCCTCCTTTTTTTGAAATATGTAGGAAAAAACTAAGGACACGGATGTCACCAAGGTGACATCTGCTCCGTACTGCTGTGATCAGGAGAGGATCAGTGCAGGGATCCCCTCCTGATCAGCCTGTGTGAAAGGGACCTGAGTGTGTGGTTCCTTTCTATATTGATACAATGCTATATGCAGCTTCAGGCTTATGTTTCAGGAGCCCAGCCCAATGGAGAACAGGAGAGCAGAGGACTCTTGTGTCTCCAAAAAAGAGGTGGGGCAATACAAAGAAGGATTATATGAAGTACTCCAACTGATTAATTAAATTGTTCATTCATATTAAACATCATCAATTCACAGACGGTGACTTACTTGTCTACCCACACTTGTAATAGTAAAATTACACATTTGCCACACTTCTTCCTGGGAGCAGTAGAGATGTAGTACAGCCCATAGTACATCAGTACCAGGCTAGTGTTTTTAGAGGGGGGGGGTGGCAACTGTCTTATTGGGTTTGTTTTGGGGTTTTTTAGTACCTGATTGATACTAAATAGGGAGATGGGCAGAGAACTGCACACTTGCCTTACGTGACAATCTGCTATCTCTAGGTTTGGGAAGGGTAAACAAAAGTGACACAGGCATCTGACATACCTGGAAGTGGAGGATATGGAAGATTTTACTGGCATTTCTAGTTCTGCATTAGAGCAAAGATCTTTAGTCACCAGTGTCGGGATGTACGTAATATTATTGTACATGCTTTAGAAGGAATAAGACACAAGAAGTTGTCCTGGGAAAAGAAAATATATTATTGTGTTTTTTTTTGTTTTTTTTATGTAATGCTTAAAGCTGATTTCTATTTAAGACAGAAACTAATGCAGCTCTGCAACCCTTAAAGCATCATTAAGTTTACTTTTTAAATGCAAGCAGTGTTAATACCTAAAAATTACTTGGTATCAACCTCTTGAAGTCCCCGTACAGCAAGGCTGGAGTTTGAGAGAAAGAAGCAAAGAAGCCAATCAGTTAATGTGCTGATAAGAAGAATGCTTACAGGAGGGGGGTGCAGAGTGTCAGAGAGATGAGCTAATCACTGTGCTTCTTCACCTTCACTGTTCAGTCAGAAGCTGGGGCAGGTCCATGAAAGCCTGGGCTCAGAGGAAGTGCGTTGAATGATGCTGGCTGTCAGATCTAGTGGCAAAAAAGTACTACAGAGGACAATTTTAGAATCTGTATTTATTTTTAATTTTTTTGGGCTATTAACTTTTATCTTGTTAATTTTTGGATAGAGTTCTGCCTTAAAAGAGAACTATGGGGTAAGTTTTTTCCCCCATAGTTCTCCTTAGGGTCACGGGAGGACATATACTTGCATCCTCCCGTGACCCAAAGCTCAGTATATGGCGGGCTATTGCCCGCCATATACTGTGAGTGCAGCAGCCGGGACGGATGCCAACATTACTGTCGAGATCCCCCCAGCTGCATGAGTGACAGCTGGCTCTGCCTATCTAGAGGCAGAGCCAGCTGTGCCCGCCCCCTCCCCATCTGTTCCTGCACTCAGCGCTGGAGGATCGGAGGGGGGGATCCCTGTGTGCAGCGGTGACTGACAGTCACCGCTCACTGCAGGGAGACGATCGAGAAGTGAGCAGATCGTGCATGTATCTGCTCGCTTCCCGATCGATAGAGCCGACCTCTGACAGATAATTTGTCACAGCTCAGCTCTAACTATGAGGATTAGTGGAAATCACTCACCTCATAGGTCTCCTTTAAGTAACTCATACCACATATGTGTAAATTTTACGATTCTTTTATATAGGCTAACTTGTATTTTAGATGTATTTGCAGTAAATAGGTTGAAAGTTAGTTGTGGTTCTTAAAAGGTTTACGTCCATAATACATGTAGTAGGATATTGTTTTCTTCTGCAGTGTGGAATGTTGTGTGTTCTTCTGTAATTTCACAGTATTTTATAAAATAGCATTTGCCCAGTTTTAATCTTCCATGTAAGCTCTTATGTTTTATTAGAAAGCAATATGTGCTATTTTAAATAGCTTTAACAAACTGACTGAATGTGCCATGTTGTCACCTCATGCATTATCCAAAATAAGTATGGCTTAAAATAATTTTGCCTTGTTAAACAGATTAAGTTAGTAAGTGGGAAATGCAAGCCATGGAGCTCTCTGCTGGGCATCTCATGTTCCAAGAGGTTTGGCATTTATTAAGTTGAAAGACACCTACGTGTTCTAGTATAAATCTTGTGAGTCAGCAGCTTCTGGTCCAGCAGCTTTTTTTATATTGAGCAGTGTTATAAATAGACTTGGAATTGATATGCTAGGTGAAGAGATCATTATGGTAAATCTTTGAATATTTCCTTTTGTTCTAAATCAGCAGTTTCATTTTGGTGTTATATCTTAAAACCTGATTTTTTTTTGTCAGGCACTCTTTAAAGTATATCTCTAGCCAAAACCTATTTTTTTCAGTTTTAAATAGAGTAGAAAAGGATTAGCATCTCTGTCACATTTTTAATGCTGTATGTGTCCCCGCTGAAGAGATTTGCTCCCTTTTTTCAACTTGGTGACTTTTTTTTATTGGGACAGAAAATTCTGAGAAATAACATTTTTTATAGCTGTCATCTGAACAAGAATATAGACAAAATCTTCAAATGGGCACAGCTGTTCTGGTGACAAGAGAATTTTGAGAAATTTCCTCTCACTTGTGTCTGGGGCAGGGAATGAAGGAAACACTCCCCAATGAAACACAGACACAAAAATCTGTCAGGGGCTCTAACAATTCTATATTCTTTTCAAAAGGTCACTTTAAAACGGCCATACACAGGCCGGTCTTCGAGAGCATTCAGCAGAGATTTTGTAAATATTTTAATTATATTTTTTATGAAAATGATCAAAAACAGGAACATATTTTAGGAACATTTTAGCCAATGCATAGATTTCAGGGAGATTGTTGTTGTTTCTGATCGTTTGAAGATATTTTTAGAGTTTAATCACCCTGTAACCTAAAAGTAGTATTAAAATCTCAATAATGAATCCAGGTCAAACAAATCTACATTTCCCAGCAAAGTGTTTCTTTAAATTTCTGCCTAAGCCCTCATAGTCATCAGGTTTGCAAACAGCTGACTCCAACTCTTTGAGCTCGGCGTCCCTGAACTTCCTGTCCAGTATAAGATCACAAGGGAGAGCACCGTCTCCAGCAGATGTTTAACTGCTCCCGCACCGAGAATCAGGAACTGCTCGTACGGCCGCAAAGGATCTTGGGGCGGGCGCATGCGCAGTTCCGATTCTCGTCCGGGAGACGAGCAGAGACGCAAGGTAAGTCTATGGACGCAGGCACCCGCATGCAGACACCGCTGGATCGGAAGTGCCTGCAAGCAGAGAGGTGTCAGCGCTGCACTGCTGGAGGGACAGATGAAAACATGGGGAAAGAAGAAGTAGATCGGAATAAAAGACATCATTTAAGGTAAGTGCTAACATAACATGGGGGGGAGGGGAAACAAATTGACTTGAATGTCGCTTTAAATGATAATGGTAATTATCACTAGTCAATGATAATTACTTAAATAATAATATTGGTAACGTATTGGGATATTATTTTATTTGATAATATGAAATCTTCCAAAATGAGCCCCTGTATAGGCAACATTGATGCAGAACTAAATAGACCTGAGAGACTATTCAGAGTCAATCCAAGAAAGCTTCATGGTCTGTTTACTGATACATATGCTTAGAGACAAGCAAAAACTATAGGTGATAATAATCCATCCTTTTTACAATTCTATTTGGGTCCAGAAAAGACTACATTTTTTAAATATAGGCAATTTCAAGCAGGAATATATTTTTAAATCAGCAGATCTTTCTAAAAGTTGTTAGCAGTATAGAAACATAAAATGTCTGTTTTTTTTTAGAGATTTGACAAAAATTAGTCTGTATTTTGCATCACGAGAATGGCTAAAAAGGGATGGAATTTACATTTGTGATCTAAAAATACAAGTCAGTCTAAGACATAAACTTCTAACAAGTCATTCAGATTTCCACATAAAATGGAATGAAGCATATGAATAAGCTTGATTTTAACTCACACAGCTAACCACAAAAATGCAACACAAAGTACCAGAACCTTTTCCTCTTGAAAATTAATTGCAACTATGCCAGTGAAGTATGTATGCATTACAGGACTTACAAAATGATCGATGATCACACTTAATTAAAATGAAACACTAGATCAACTGTGCTCAGAGGTGGAAAAGCAATCTATTATCTGCCCACAGAAACATCCGTGATGTCGTCTGTGAACTGAACTAGGAGTTTTACCAAATGGCATTTATATTCTTGACTTTTGTTTTACTGCAGTGAGTTATATTGTAAGTGGCTTTCCAGAATACTGGTGTCCTAGGGCTATAAAATATGCACATGGTAAGCATTTTTTTAAACCACACCATTAGGATCAAATTTGTTAACACCTATGGTCATGTTGCCATTTAACAAATTACATAGATTGCCAGAATAAAGTTATTGATTTCTCTAAAATGTATTTACTTTTGTAAAACTCAATGGGGAAATGTATCCAAACTGGAGCAGACGGAGTGTGGAGCTGTTGCCCATGCTAACCAATCAGATTCTATCTTCAGTTTGAGCACTTAAACTTTGAAAATGAAAGAAAGACTGATAGATAACTGCTCCAGATGTTTTGCTCTATCAGTTTTCATAAATTCCCCTCTATGTATATTGCAGTTGCATAAAGTAGTAAAATATTTAGATGGATGCATAAAAAGTCAGTTAACTACTCTAGGGATTTTTGGCTATTCCCCAGTGTTCTCGCTGTTAAAGGTAGAATATAAAGTGTATCTAAACCCAAAACCAAAAATTTAATATGATGCAGCTTACTTGTCTACCTGGGTGTGTGCAATTGTTTTTTTTTTGCTATGTTTGTTTTCAGACTAAGAACAGTTTCAACAAGTACCAAAAATACATGTTAATCTGGTACACAGTGAATCTTAAAAATGCAGTGTTCTTGTCACTTTCCGTGAGCTTAAAAGAAAGCACAAACATCCTTTTCTTTATTGTGTAAACTGCTAGTCCCATCAATCTATCATATAATAGAGATGATCAAAGGCAGGCATGTTCATGTTCATGTTCATGAGTTCCCCAAGAATAGACAGAAATCTGTTGTGATATTTTAGACTCTTTTTAAACCTTATTGGTTTTTAAACCTTATGTGTGTGTATAGATATAGATATATACTTTATATAGATAGATATACAGTATATATACACACACACACACACACACATATATTTACAGTACACTGTATATACCAATTAGCCATAACATTATGACCACTGAGAGGTGAAGTGAATAGCATTGATTATCTCGTTACAATGGCTAGGCAGCTATAACCCCGTCATCTCCAATAATTATTTTGTGTGTGTGTGTCCTAAGAGGATAGATACCTTTTCTTTATTGAGTTAAGTTTCCCTGTTTTATTTTTACTGAGATTATTTCATTTTCTGTAAATTTTGCGGGAAGCAAGAATTCCTCTTATTTGCTGCTGAGTGGGGGTTAGTTATGCAGATATCTAGCTGTGTGATGTCACCAGGACTGTGTGCGAGTCTCACCAGGATTGTGAAGTCTCACCAGGGCTGTGTATGGTCTCCCCAGGGTTGCGTGCAGTGTCCAAGGCTGCATGCGGGGTTCACCAGGGCTGTGTGTGGGGCTCACCAGGGCTGTGCAGTGTCACCAGGACTGCGTGCGGGTCTCACCGTGGCTGTGTGTGGGTCTCACCATGGCTGTGAAGCGTCACTGGGACTGCTTGCGGGGCTCACCATGGCTGTGTGATTTCACCATGGCTGTGCAGTGTCACCAGGACTGTGTAACATCTTTACATGTATGCTCTTCTGGTATTGACCCTGTGTTTTGGGCAATCTCTGTGTTTATAGATCATAAGGCCAGATCTTACACTGTTTGTTTCTTGATGACAAATGACACAGGAGCGGTTGTCCACATGTATTTGTGTGTACGAATACGCGCAGAGCCGCTCTAAACACTAAACACTTTAATGTGCATTGTTCAGACTTTTGCGGCGGTCGCGCTGACTGCAAAATAGTACAAGTGCAATTTTTGGACGTATTCCACACGTTCGCGAAATCCGTGCAGGTGAAAGATTTTAACGTTTGGGTGCCGCGTGGGAAATGCAATCGCTATATGTGAATGGCGCCTTTTTTGGTCTTGCTGGTAGATTTTTCCTTTACATATCTGTTATGTTACCTTGTACCAAGCACTTTTTCTATGTTTGCATTGTAGCCAACATAGTTTTTTTCTATTGTTATTAATAATAACAAAGTTGAAACAAAAATAGAAAATGAAGTTGTCTGAAGTGTTATACTGTTTAGGTAATAACTGCCGAAAATACCACACACAAAATGTAAAACCTAGTGTATTGAAAAGTTATTATTAAAACTAGTTGCCACATTTTCTTATGCACATGTCTTGTGGGCAATTAGAATGACTGTTCATTTGTTTTTAGTTTTGCAGACAAAAACTAAAGACCAACCACTAGTTTTTAACAACAAAATCAAGTCATCTGGATACACTGCTGCGCCAAGGTGAGTAAATAGAGACTGCACTCAAACATTTATATAAATACTTATCAAAGTACAAATTTGCCCTCATTTACCCTAAGCGTTTTGTAACACTTTTTTTGCCCAGAAAAAAAAAAACGACCCGAATTGTCATTCATTTATATGGCCATGTTTACATCTAATTGTTTTGTCGCTTGTAGCAAAACGCCCATCGCTGTAAAAAAGTACATGAGCTTCTTTTTGGCGGATTATGCCCCCGAAAAATGTGCATTTGCCAGTTTATGTCAATGTGTCACAATCTGCTTGCAAAAACGCACAACTTAATGTACGCTTCGTATGCACTTCAATCGCGTACATTTGATGTCGCTTAGGTGTAAATGAGGGCTAAATGTTCACGTGTGACAGTTCGCAAATCCAGTTACTATGTGACGCACAAGCCTCATAAAGTAAAAGAACAAAACAAAACTTTTTCCTCCCCTGAGTGTGCCACATCCTTCTTCAGTTCTGTCTCACATGCTCCCTGTCCCAGACACTGCAGAATGAAGTGGAAGGGTTTCAGCAGCAGAGGCAATGTTATCAATCCAGAAAGCAGTGGACAGGGCTAGGTTTAGTCAGCTGCTGATTGGCAAGCTACAGGCTTGTGAATCAGCAGTGATGATGCTTATAGCTATGTCCCCTGCATTGTCTTCTCATTTCACTGTACTGCAAGCTGACACAGCCTGTGTGAGGGTGACAACACCGGTCCTAATGTAGGTCCAGAGTAGCGGAATGTCAGCCCATCAAAGGTAACTGCATGTGGCAGAATGATCAGATATATAGCGCTATCATCCATTGAATGACACAGCTTTATGGTAATTAGCAACTAAGAGTTAAACTTCTGTCTACAGGACAAATTGACACTAGGTACATAGAAACTGAAGGCTAGCTCCCTAGAAGTTATAACTCCTCCTATCTCACACCTTGCCAGTTACACTTACAGGGTTATTCACAAAAGGGTGAAGAGTTTGGAGAAGGCAGAAGAAGTGAACAAGCTAGGACAACATAGCTGAACTGGACTTTTTCCAAATCAGCTTTTTGGCCTAGATTGTTCACTTCTCCTGCCTTCTCCAAACTCTTCACCCTTTTCTGAATAACCCTGTTAGTGTCCTCGGGCGAATGGATATCTCCTTCCTCTTTACTAGATTTTGCGTGTGAATCAGAAGATTTCTTCTATCAACAGGTACTGGTAGACTCATGCTGGAAATCCGGGAAGTCTCTCCCGTTAGCCATTGACCACAGAATTTCCCAGTTTGTATACTGGTGTTCTCGCCAAGACAGTCCTGCAGTTGGTAGTGACATACCCAGGCTGTGTGCCTGTTGAACAGGCCCGTTTATTTAGGGATTCCTTGCTGAGTGTCGTGACAAGAGCTGTGGCAGTTCACCTGACCCATCTCTAAAGTCTCCATTTTATGAGTGTGTGCAGTTGGATATTCCTTTGTTGGGAAATTCCTTCTGCAACAGTCCTGCAGTTGGCAGTGACAATTTGTCAGTTAGCACAGGGCTCATTTATTCAGGTCAGGCCAGTTAATCCGGGAAATTCTTGCAATGTTATGAGGACCAGAGCTGCTTCAGTTCACTATTTCCGTCTCAGAAGATTCACATGTTGTGAGTGATTAATGGGAGTTTTTCTGTGTTGTGGATTGTTTTTTTTCCTCTTTATGTCCTTGAGTTTTTTTTTCTATGTGGTATTCACTACAGAGCAGATGTAGCAGGCTGGACACTGTTTGAGGAGGACATGAACTCTGCATAGGCTTATCTTTATATATTTTATTAAGTTCTATCAACCTGTTTTTTTTTTTCTTTTGGGATATCTGGGGCTGTGTGCTTGCATGTGTTATAAGAATCCGGGCACTATGCTTGAACTGCTATTTGACTCTTCCGGTGCCAGCTAGGACTTGATGACACAGAACTATTAGCAGCTGGTGCACACATGCGCACAGCAGGCCTTCCTTCTTGCAGTTCTCAGTTTCTTTACTAGATTCCTTATTTGTTGACACCATGGCTGCATTATGCAGGATCTCCTTATGGTTTAAAAAAAATATATTTTTTGTTAATTATGAAAAAGGCAGAATAGTACAATAACCCAGGGTACTAAATACAATTAACATAGAAACAAGTAAACAGACCAAGGTTCCTTGAAGATATTCATATGGTGTATTTGTAACAATACCTAGCACATGGAAAACAATGTCACCAAAGGGCAAAGATCATTCCATATAGGAATGGTATATCTTTGGTATTATTCAATCTTTTATGAAATTTGAAGTAGCAAGCACACAGTGTACCCTGTCATTTTCATATTTATAAGTTGGATAAATACATGAGGTGAAGGTAGGAAAATAATATGAAAGTTAGGGGTATGAACTGAAAGTAGGCATGTGAGGCTTTAGATGGGGAAGAACCATTACGTCATTAGAGGACCAAGGGCACATTTTGCAGTATGATTGTATCAGTTTTTCCGTATGGGGATGAGAAAAGGGCTTTATAGTCCTGGGAAAAGGTGAAATTTACATAGCAGAACCTAGACTTCCCTCCTTGGTTTTTAAGTGTTAAGTTGATATTTTCTAGTACACAGTTCTTTGACTCCTGAGCACCACATAGCCAAGGTGGAAGGGGAGGTCTGCTTCAACAACAGCAGAATACATATCCTTGCTGCGTTGATGAGGTGTTTTAAGAGGTATGGTTTTAGGAATGGTGTAATGAAGGGCATTTAGCGCTGTACACTTCATTACACCATTATGCTGTAGGCTTTTAGCCTGAGTTCAGCAGCTTTTTTCCTTTTTGGTTTTAGAAATTTTAGCTCCGGGGTCATATTAATATCTATTTTAAATTTTAATCCATCTTAATTTAGTTTTACTATTTCCGTTAGCGCAAGTTAGTTTGGTTCAGAATGGTTTTAGGAATGTTTGCAGAGTAGACTAAGATGCAGTAGGTAACAACAAATGTTTATTTTTTAATTAGGAATGTAATCCCATCCCACAGGGCCTGACTATTGGGCAGTTCCAGAAAACAGAGCAGAGCAGAGTACCTTTGGATTGTTGGCATCAACAACATACACTAGACGTTTGGGAAAAAATCTTGTGTAGGGATGAGGGCACTCTTTACCCCCTAGAAAGAATTTTAAATCCAGATTCTTGTATTTTGTTAGCAATTGAAGATTTGTGGGCAAAACAAAGAATATAGTCTCCCTCTTCTGCAGAGAATGTAGTACCAAGATCCCTTTGCCATTTCTGTAGGTATGGTAGGGTCTAGCCTTCAGGTGGTTAGTTCAGCAAGCAATAGTGGTATGAGCGTGCATTGCCTTGGGGTTGCGATCCAAGCAAAGATTTTCAAAGGAAATGGTTAAGCTGGCCAGTTCTTGTGGTTGCAGTAGGGTGAGAAGAAGGTATCACATTTTGGGTTGAATTCCACATTGATAGTGGGGGTATACCAAAGCCTGTATCTCAGGGCTTGTTTTCTAGCCCCCGGAGGACACAAAATTCAATTTCTGATTTTTTTTAGCTACCAGTAAGGGTTTAAAGGCCTTAAGGTAGCAAAGGTATTTTGGTCCCCCCAAAATAGGTGATTACCTATATAGTCGGTGTGCTCCTACAATTTTATCTTATGCATTAACTTGAAGAGTGGTCAACTCCACTGGTCTTGCTCATATTGGACCCACAGTTTCGTAGAAGAGTTTATATACTAGTTTAGAGCCCTAAAGCAGATGGGGAGCGAGGTGGCAGGGACTGGTCTAACTGTCAGCTAGCTGCGAGGTTCAAGTGAGAACTTCACCCCCCTCATGCTCTCCAGAGTGTCTCCATCAGTGGCCTCCCTTTTAGCTAATTAGGGATATTCCTCTAACTCTACTTTCTCACAAGGTTGCCGGCTTTGTCACTATCATGTCTGCTAGGCATGTTTCTGAGTTATATGTAAATGAGTGTGCAGCGCTGAGGGTCACCAATAAGTGAACCACTTATTGGTGACCCTCA